GTCTTTTTTGTCTGTGACTAGGACAAAACCTGGTATCTGGTACTTGTTTTTGCTCATTGGCTGGATCTCTATAACCTGAGCTATGCCTCCAACTCTGGTGTCTCTTTCCTTTCCATAGTTGCACCTACAGTTGGTTCTGCTTAGACCATCTCTTCACAGATGAGATCACTGCTTCGGTGACTAAACTCTAGTTCAGCTATTTGATTTTAGGTTGGGAGCTAGAGACTGTTTTCCTCATGTCAGTTTCATGGTACTTAAATGTAATTCAGAGCCATTTCTTTGTTTGTTTGGTGCTAGTCCTGGGTGCCTCAGGACTATCCCTGAGCTTTGTTGCTCAAAGCTAGCTCTCTACTACTTGATCCACAGCTCTACTTCTAATTTTTTTTATCCTTAAGTAGAGATAAGAGTCTCACCGACCTTGCCCTAGTTGGCCTTGAACCATGATCCTCAGCTCTCAGCCTCCTGAGTAGCTAGGATTCAGATGTGAGCCACCAATGCCCAGCTCCTGTGCATATTTTATCTAAACATTGCCTCAGAGAAGCTAGGTTTGGGAAAGATTACTCCCCCAAGGAGTTCATAGCTCCCAGAGGTCAAGACTGGCTACTTAAGCCCATAAAAGACCAGAGACTCAGGGTCTCTTTTCATGATTTTTGCAGGCAGTGTGGTAAACTTTAATAAGCCACTTCTTAGGTGGGCAAACACAGGACCTCACCTTCAAACCCTAAGCCTATGCCTAAGGGCACAGGCTTGTCCAGACTGGTCCTGTCTCTGTCCCCTGAGGTACCTTGTATTGGTGGGATTTATTGGCAATAAAGACTGAGAACATGGGAGGTGAGGCCTGCTCTAGGCCTGGTTTGGTCACAAGGATCCAGGAATAACCTTTGAAGTATGACTCCCACTAAAGCCTGACCTTAAATAAAGCATGATACTAACTAATGTCAGATAAAGCAGGTTAAATTTGAGTTTCAGAAAACAATGAAAAAAATTAAATATGTCTCCAATATTGCATGGAGGATAGATTATAAATCATTCCTTATTTACTTGAAATTCAAATTTCCTTGTGCATCATATATGTATATATACATCAATATTCCCTAAACTCCTTTCTAGCCTCCTGCCTACTTCTGCCTTTTCCTCAGCTCTGTGCCAGCCCGCCTGATTCCCATATGCTCTACCTGCTACCATCTCTGACCTTTGCAAATAGCCCCTGTGGCTGGACTCATTTACATTATGTCCACATTTAGAAACACTGCCTATTCAGATCTCATCTTGGCTAGTTTTCCCCCCTCCTTTGATTCATACAATTCCCCTTTGCTCCTGTATATGCCGCCATAGTCAGGAGATTGTGCACAAATTTTGCCTATCTCCTGTCTCCTAAGATCCTTCTATAGTATCTACAATGGGTGACCAATAAATGTCGACTGGCCGGGAGTCTGTGGCTCACACCTATAATCTTAGCTGTTTGGGAAGCTGAGAACAAATAGAAAGATGGAACTTTGAGGCCAAATGGCATAGAAAGGCTTGTGAGACCTTTTCCAAACCCATCGCTAGGTGCAGTGTCTGTGTGCCTGTTCTTTCAAGCTAGGTGAGAGGCTGCCTGGCAGAAAAGTCTGAGTGATTCCATATCCAAGGAAGGAAGCTGGGCATGGTGGCACATGCCTGTTATCTGAGTGAGGAAGGAAGGCCTGATCCTGGCAAATCCTGGCTCAAGTAAGACTGGGAGGGAAGCAAGACCCTCTTCTCAAAACACTCAGACCCTATCCTAATAACAGGCCATGAGGCCAACATAGCAAGCACAGGTCCCCGAGTTGAAATCCTAGCTATGAGTTATGGAGAAATATGAAAGAAATCTAAACTGAACAAGGAGATTAGAAAATATCTGAGAGAGAATATTGTAACTAAGCTTTTCAACCACCAAGGTGGCCCTTCAACGACCTAGAACATCACAAAGTAGATTTTTCTGAGTAATTCACTCAAGTATTAATGCTAGGCTTCACTGCAGCTTAAGGTGAGAAAACAAATAGAGTTCTAAAACAATTTTGTTTTTAAAACTTACCTATTTAGCCATTCCCTCGAGGTCAAATATAATTCAGTAAACCTCCCCCAGCCTTGGGACTCCCTTGGGCTGGTCTTGGGGAAGGAACTGAAGGGTAAAAGGAAGGGCTCCAAGTCTTTTACATTTCAAGAAAACTTGTGGTGTCTTGGTAAAAAATCATTGTCATTCTCACCTTAGAGAGAACATACTTTCAGTCATTTCAGTGTATTTCTTTCCTAATCACTTTCACCATGTTTGTACCTTGCCTGAATTCTCCTCTTGTTGCATGTAAAGATCATGGTTGACTTTTGAGTATCATCAGTACTGTTGAAAAAAAAAAATCTAGGGCTAGGAATGTAGCGTAGTGGTAGAGTGCTTGCTTTGCACGCATGAAGCCCTGGGTTTGATTCCTCAGTACCACATAAACAGAAAGAGCCGGCAGTGGCGCTGTGGCTCAAGTGGTAGAATGCTAGCCTTGAGCAAAAGAAACTCAGGGACAGCGCCCAGAAAACCTTTTTGTTTTTATGACAGTACTGGGATTTGAACTGAGAGCTTCCAGCTCCTGCTTCGCTTTTCTGCTCAAGGCTGGCACTCTAACTACTTGAGCCACACCTCCACTTCTGACTTTCTAGTGGTTAATTAGAAGTAAAAGTTTCTCAGACTTTCCTACCTAGCTTTGAAACACAATTTTCAGATCTCAGCCTTGTAAGAAAGATTACAGGCATGAACCAGCATCCAACTGATAAGAACATCTCAAGCCTGTAAGGCTACTCAGGAAGTGGAGATCTTGAGAATCCAGATTCAAGGTCAATCTAGGAAACGTTTAGCATTACTTTCCATTTCAACAATCAATACCTGTGACTCCAGCCAATTGAGAGGCTTAGATAGGAAGATCATGGTCTGAAGACAGTCCCAGATCAAAATGCAAGACCCTACCAAAATATAGCTAAGGCAAAAAAAAAAGGAGCTGAGGGCGTGACCCAAGTGGTTGTGTGCCTGCGTACAAGCATGTGTCTCTGAGTTCAAACCCCAGGATTGCCAAAGAAATAATAAATCAATACCTAATGAAAACTAACATAGGAACCCTCTGAATATTTAGACAGAGGTCTGTGCCTCTCAGACACTGACCATGTTCTTCCCTGTCACATAATTTTCATCTTTATGCTTCTGGTGCCCCTAATACTGTTTGTTCCTTGAAGGTACAACCTGCACTTCCTTCTGTGTAGTGGCAATCAGTTTGTGTTGAATATCATGATGGGGTTTGGGTGTGTCTCATGCCGTCTCAGACCTCTAGGTCATCTGGTCTGGTCCTGAAGCTAAGTTGTAGATACAGACAGGGCTTCTTTGTGAATTGCTGGAGAATCTAGATTAAACACCAGCCCAGAGCTTCGGGGAAACCTCTGGGGTTCCCATACCACTAAGAGAAGTAAAACTTGGAACTAGAAGCTAGGTGCCAGTAGCTCAGGTCTGTCATCCTAGCTACTCAGGAGGCTGAGATCTGAAGACTGAAGGTTGTGATTCCCAAACCAGCCCAGGCAGGAACGTACAAGAGATTCTTATTTCCAATTAACCTCCCAAAAGCCAAAAGTAGAGGTGTGATAGATAGTTAACCTCCAAAGAGAAAGCTAAGGGACAGTGCCTCAGCCCTGAGTTCAGTAGTCCTCCCCCGCCCAACAAAAATCAATAACAAAAAACCAAACTAAAGAATGGAATTAGGAATGGAGTGTGTATAGGGAATAGAAATGGTGGATGGCATCAAAGGTAAACCCAGAGACATGGGTTTAGGATATAGCAGAGAAGACACTATAGCAGTAGCCAAGCAAACTGGATTCTCTGTCTGGCTTTATCCATCTTGGGCCAGGAAAGACGGAAAGAAATATTTGAGTGTTTGCTGTGTATTCTCCTGAAGGTTCATTGAAATTTCGCAACAGCCAGGTGGAAAGCTAAGGTTCAGAAGGTAAAGAAATGGCCCTCAGACAATGCCCCGTGTTATCTAGGAAACTGTACACAAAACTACGTCTCAAGGTTAAATAAAGTAATATGCAGGGCACTGCATTGTCTTTAAGATCCTTCCTTTTTAATGTCTACCTGTAAGGGGGGGGGGGGAAATCTGAACAATGTGGGAAGAGGAGAAACTAAGGCAAAGATGTGGTAAGACCAGTGTGAAAGGTGAAGTCACTACTAGTCTAGATGAGGTTTCCAGAGGGTGGGGCGTGGCCTGAGGCCTCTCGCCCAGGTGTCTGATCCTCACGGAGGGTTGCGGGGGGCGGGGGGGAAGGGGGGACGGAGAGGAGGGGAGAGAAGGTCAGGTCACCTGGAGAGGTGGAATTCAAGTCAGCCCTGACATTAATTTGCAAAGCTTGCCTGTGACACGTAAAAATCTGAGCGAGGAAAAACTAAGGGGACTTCCTGTAGTATATAGGGGGTTGGGAATGGGCTGTTTCCTGCGTACCTGGCCCCGGAAGGACGCTCCTCAGATAGCAAGCACCAGGCTCAGAGCGTGGCTGGGAAGAGCTCCGCCAAGGGCCGGGGGGAGCTTCGTTAAATGGGTAGTGAGGGAAGGAGGGTTTCTGGATTCCTCCTCCTCCCTGCGGCCCCAGGCTCGTTCCCCCGCAGCCAGGACAAAGCTGGGTGAGGGGCGTACTTGCCGCTTCCAGCACCCCGCGGACCTCGAGGCCGCAGGTTGGGTGGGGGGAATCTCAGCGGTCGGCCTAAGCCATCGGTGTTGGGGTGGGTCACCTACCCAGGTGAGTACGAGCCTGGGTAACCCGCAGCTCAGGACGCGGCAACCACAGCCTGGGAAATAGGAGCTTGGGCTTTCGGGGCGGGGCGTGGAGAGTCGGGGCGTGGCCTTCTGGAAGACAAGCCAATGGTGGATTAGGAGGGGCGTGGCTAGAGCCTTAGTTCCCGCCCCCTGCGTGCAGCCTCGCCCGCAGACCCGACCGGGAGGCGACTGCGGCCACCGTGGGCATTGAATGGGCTGGTGGCGCCCCGTTCGGACCTGCCCGCCGCCGGCTCCCGCGTCTGCCGGGGCCTCGGCCGACCGCCGCCGGCCCCCGCCCAGGCTGTGAATGAAAGGCAGGCGGCGCCGGGGGCTGGCTGCAAGCGACAGGGCGACGCCGGCCTCCCGGGAGGCGCGCTCCCCGTGGAGATGTACGGTAAGGAGGGCTGCGCGCCGCGCCCGGGCCCGCGGGGGCCGGCTCCGCAAACTTCCAGGACGCGGACCTTTGTCCCCCTCTACCTAGCCCGGGAGGAAGGCTAGAGCGCCGGCTGGGTGCCGGGCGGGGCGGTAGCGGTGGCTCCCGTGCGGGAAGGACAAAGATGTGCGGGGCCAGCGGGCTCCGCGGTCCGGAGAGCCTTCGGGCCCCGCGCGTGCTGGCGATCGGGGCGGTGGGCGGTGGTCCGTCCGCGGGCGGGGGCTCTGGTAATCTCGAGCCTCGGGGCTCTGGAGAAAGCCGGCGTCTCTCGGAGCCGAGGCGACGCGGAGTGTTGGCGTGGAGGTGGTCGTGTGACAGCGTTTGCGGAATTCACAGACGCGGTTTGTGCCGGGGAGTTTTATGCGGGAAGCCGGCGGTGGCTTGCCGGCCTTGAGCGGCGCTCGGAGGCTATGGGAGGCGGCGCCCGCGGGGCCCGGGCCGGGGCCGGGGCCGGAGCCGGGGCCGGGGCCGGGGCCAGGGAGCTAGCCAGCACTGGGAGCCTGCTCTCCGCCCTGGATGGACCTGGCCTCTCTCTCCCAATCTCTGCTTGTCGCCGCAGCCCGCCTGTCGGTGGGATCCAGGCTCCCCAACTTCCAGATTGGCCCTCTGCGGGGCTGAAATGGGGAGGCGCTGCTGCCAAGAGGGCGCAGCGCAGCCCGGATCTGTCTTTCTGCTTCCACAGTGTCGCCCCCACGGATGTGCAACAGTTTCGCAGACCCTCACCGTGCCCTGCTTTGCTCGACCGATTGCCAGGAATTCCTCTGGTTCTGCAAGGCAGTGTGGGTGACAGAGAGCACTTTGGGTCCCACACTCCACCTCTAATGAAGGGAGCCGTGGAGATCCAGACCAGTGTTGGGAATGGGCTTCAGTACAGAGCTTCTAAGGGCGGGCTGTGTGTGTAGATGTATAAACCTATGGGATGATCCAAATGAACGGAATCCATTAGAACCCAAATCTCTGGCAGCTGTTTCCCGGCCAGCAAAAGAACTGGAGCTGTGCTTACCTCCCAATCCCGATGCAGGATGGGGGCTCTTTTTGCCCTCTTCTCCCCCCCGCCCAAGTATTCTAGAAAAGCATGTTCCCAATTTAACCCATCTCTATGGCTGCTGGGCTGGCTTAGTCTAGGAACAGGCCATGAGTCACAAAGTCTGTTAGAGGCAGAGGAGGTTGAGGAGCTGGGAAGGCTCTGCAATTTGTGGGACCCCTTACTTAGGAGACAGTCAACGTGTCAGTCTCCCCCCCCCCAGTTGATAACACACTACACTTCCCACCCAGGTGGAGATGTCAGCAGGTTCTCCTCAGCATTTCTCTTGGGTGGTCTGTGTAGAGGGAGCCTTAGAGGCTGCTGACCCAGAGGGGTCTGGGAAGGGGCAGGGAAAAGGTACCGATACAGGCTGGGAGTTCTGAAGTTCCCACCGGAGAGCTATGCATTTCTTTGACTCTCTCTTTCTCCCCCCCTCCTTCTGCAGAGGAGCAGCTGGAAGTTGCAGATCATTTGACAGAAGCATGTGACTGCAGGGGCACCTGCAGGGGGGAAAGAGTTAGGAGAGGCTCATCTGGAATGGGCCAGAGTTAGGAGCCCTGGTTCTCCTCAGCCACCCCCATGGTACTTAGTAGATTATTTGGTAACTTTTCCAGGTAGCTAGGAGCTGGGGGTTCTGATCTGCCCCTGTTGGATGCAGCTGGACAAAGAAGAGCTGGATAGTGCAGAAGGGTGAACTGGAAAGCGAACATAACTGGGTGCTATTTTCAGATACATCACAGAATTTCATTTCTCTTTAATAATATGTTTTCATTTCCCCAGATGCAGAGTAGGGACTTGCCCTGAATGATTCATAGAAAGGTTGGGATGAAAGAGTCCCCTGGGTATTGCCTACAGCATAGGAAAAAAAAATCACTCTAGTGCTGGGTGGGAGGTTGTCATTGAATGTTGCTTGCTGGCCTGTATTTCCCCTCTTCGCCCCTCCTCATTTTACTTCTGTCTTGCACAACTCCGTTTTCCTGGGTCCTCAATTTCTTGTCTTCTTCCTTTGACCTATGGGAGACCAAGAACCTCTTGTCTTGATTGATGGCACTGCCATCTAGAATAGAAGGAATTCTAGATGGGGGTCAGTCCATCCCAATCCAAGAACCAGTTTGTAACTGTGTGACCTCAGGCAGGTGGGGTTATCTCTCCAAATTATAACTGTAGAATGGTAGAATACCATCTTACTCCTAGGTCTGGTCGGAGCCCTAAATCTGGGTAGCAATGTCTTAATGTATCATGTGAGCTTCTATTCTTGCAAGACAGAGTACATCAGAGCTTGTCCTTTGTGAGTCCCCTTAGACCTTCACTCTTTCCCCCTCTGCCAGCTTCTGCACATACCTGCTTGTATTACCTCCCACCCCAGCTTGAACATACAGAAGATCACCTTGACCTTGCCAGCTATACCTCAGTCACTTTCTGGAAGTGGCTCTCCAACTGGACACAAATGACTTCTTACAGTCTTGTTTATACCTGTAAATATAGATTATACTGGGGTGAGAAAATCATGGGCAAGTTCTTTGCAAAATGGATTTCCATTTGTTTTGTTGATGTTGTTGCATAACAAGTACTTTTCCACTTTTCTCACTTGGATCAGAGCCATGGCCGTCCTACCTGAGAGCATCCCAGTTACCCAATGAGGTGAGACAGAGGAACCTCTAGACTGAGAAAGGTTGCCTCCAGACTGAGGGCAGCCTGCCATGAGAAGGGAAATCCACTGGGGAGGATTTCCTGACCACACTGTGGTCTGAGCACCACAATCCCACTAAAACCAAAACTGCTGTAACTAATTCTTTCACATATGCTCATCTTCCTGATTTGTGATGGACAGTGGTCACTGTAAGGAAATGGCGGTGATGGTTAACTTCTGATCATGTGTTTCACAGTGCCCTATGTGGATTGTATGGCTGTAGTGGTTGAAGCAGAGACACCACAGGGCTAGGCAGACCTCCTAAGATGCAAAGACTGAAAATCTCTCACTCTGCTGTTCCTCCTTCCAAGAGACTCCAGCACCCACACACCCCCTTCCCCCAACCTCCTGTCCTAATCTTGGCTTTCATGCACCCCATGATGCCATGTTGGCTGGTACATATAGCAGCTGTATGCCCCCATTCCTTTATTTTCCTCAAGAGGGACCCTGTAGAGACAGCCTGTTTCTCTCTTATTCACAGTTCAGTGATTCAGGAGGTTGCAGTTTTCTTCTTGTCTAGCAATAAAAGTAAAAATTTGATATCACCTTATAAAATTATCTGTAAAAAGAGGAGGGAAAATCATCCCCTCCCCTCAACCCTAGCTGAGTGGTAAGCCCTGGGCATGATCCAGCACTACAAAAGAATTAAACAAGGCAGAAACCTTTTATATCGTAATAGAAGTTACTTCTGTGATTTTGTTGCTCACTTCCCCGTGGTCTTTCTTTCCTGATTCTGGCTATTCTTGGCTGGTAGGCATCATGGTGAAAGGGCACTGAGGACCCCTAGTCTGGGTTGGCATCCCAGCTCTTCCCCTAGGGTGACCTTGAGCCCAAACTTTTCTGATCCTCCTTCCTGACTCTAAAAAGGTGACACTGCCTACTTGAGCACAGAGATTAAGTAGAGGGCTTCCCCCTCTTTCCCATCTCCTTTCCTGAGTGTTTTCTTCTTTGGTGCCTTTTATTTTTTTAAGATAAAAAACAAAAACCCACTTGGACAGGACTGGGTGCTGGTGGCTCATGCCTGTAACCCTAGCTACTCAGGAGGCTGAGATTTGAGATACTGCTTAAAGCCAGCCGGGGCAGAGAAATCTAAGACTCTTATTTTTAACTAACCAGGACAAACTCCTAAAGTAGAGATATGGTTCAAGTGGTGGAGAGCCAGCTTTGAGTGAAAAAGCCAAACAAGAGCCTGAGGGCCTGAGTTGAAGTCCCAGTGCTAGTACTTCCTCCCCCCCCCCCAACTGAACAGAAAACAAAAAGATGCATTTGTATGATTCTGTTCCTTTAATTAAGCAAAGGAAAAAGTAATTAAAAATTATCTTTTTTTCTGACAAGAAAAATCAGAAAACAGAGTAAATCATAAATAAATATTGTATTAATATTTTTCTTGTGCATTTGTTTGCATCGTTAGAATTATTTTATACAACTTCATATTCTATTTTTTCTCATAAAGTATTAGGATATAAGCATCCTCCCTCCCCTCAAGTAAATGAAACATGCTGGCAGCCATTTAAAATATATATATTAATACTGGGCTAATGCTGTCAGAGAAGTGGGTGCTGTCCTATTATTAAGTTTCCCATTGTTGTAACTAATACCTGTGAAGAATCAACATAAAAAGAGGATAAGGGTTTGTGTGTGTGTGTGTGTGTGTGTGTGTGTGTGTGTGCCAAGCATTGAACTTAGGACCTTACAACTTGTTAGACAGGCACTCTACTCTTTTTGCTTTCAGTTTTTATACCGGGTCTCATGCTTTTGCCCAGGCTACTTTCAGACAGAGATCCTACTGCCTCACCTACTGAGTTGCTGAGATTATAGGCATATACCATCACTCTTGGCCCCTGTGCCTGTACTGTGGCTTGAACTCAGGCCTCAAACTCTTGGTTATTTTTTTGCTCAAAGCTGTACCATTTATTTGAACCATACCTCCATTTCCATGTTGTTGTTGTCATCCCCCAGCCCCCACTTCCTTGTTTTTGCTGGTTAATTTGAGATAAACCTCTCAGGATTTGTCTTCCCTGGATGGCTTCAAACTTAAGTCATCTGATTTCAGGCTCCTGAGTTAACTAGCATTACAGGTGCAAGCCATGGGAACTTAGTTATGTTGCCATTATTATTATTATTATTTTTGTCAGTCGTGGGACCTGAACTCTGGGCCTGGGCACTGCCCCTCAGCTCTTCAGCTCAAGGCTAGTGCTCTTGAGCCACAGCGACACTTCTGGCTTTTTTTGCTTTATGTGCTGCTGA